TCTATATCAATCTGTATCTATCTCTATATCAATCTGTATCTATCTCTCTAGCTTTATCTTTTTCTATCTTCATCTCTCTATTTCTATCTACAGTATATCTATATCTCTCTACCTGTCTTATCTCTATCTTTATATATCTATCTTTATCTCAATCTCTCTTTTATTTGTCTCTATCTCTTCCTCTCTATCTCTATATCTCTCCATCTTCATCTCTATCTCTATATCTCTATTTCTATCGCTCTCTCTTTATCTCTATCTTTATCGCTATCTCTGTTTCTATATCTCTAATCTCTATCTCTCTCGCTCTATCTTCATCTCTATCTTTCTTCATCGCTATCCCTCTATCTCTCTTTTTTTGGGGGCCTCATGTTCTGCTCATTTTAGCTTTTTGATAGCCATTTTCTACAATTAGCTTTTAACTTCCTTTTGCTACAGTTTAGCATGTAACTGAAGTTAGTGTTTTGCTGTTTTTCTTGCCACGTTTGGTTATTGCTTTACTACTTTAGCTAGTGTTTTGCTATTTTCCTTCAGTTTTGCTACTTTCTTGTTATTTTAACTGTGTTTTTACTATTTGTAGTAATTTCACCTCTTTTGTTAGTTTTCTGCTGATTTTAGCGAGTGTTTAGCTACTTTTAGCCAGCCCTTTGCATGGAGTCACCGCTCCACCACATCAAATCATACATGTGATTAGGACATCTCCCGCTGGAGGAACTGGGTCGCACTGGGAGGAGACCCTGAGGCAGAACTACGTGGTCTTCCCGGAGCTGGAGAGTGTCTGGTGTCTGGGTTGTGTCTGCATCTGGACTGGAATAAGTGCAAATCGATGGATGACGGTTGAACTGGATGTGATGATGTCACAGAGCTGTCTGAATGATGTCACACGTTTGGGCTGGAGCTGCGCTGACACAGCTTCTGCAGGAAGTTCCATGTGTGGCTGATTTTTGTATTTGTTTATTTTATTTTATTTTTTTAATTTCCCCTTTATTCATCCAGGTAGTCTCATTGAGCCACGAGAACTCATTTTCAAGAGAGACCTGTTTAGGGAGCAGATGGGGGTTAAAGACCTTGCTCATGGGCCCAGAGTGGGGTGAATGAGGGTGGGGTGCAGGTGTGGGTGCTTCACCTACCCCACCCACATTTTTGATTATGTCTGTACCGGGGCTTGAACCGGTGATCTTCCGATCACAGGCCCACCTTCTCTTAACCTCTGCGCCACCACTCCCCCCAGAATAAATCAGAATAAATATTGTGTCCAGATGTTTTTACTCGTTTATTTTGGTTTTATTAGAACTCTTTAAGACTTGAATTAAATGTGTGTGTTTTACCAACAGCTGGAGCTGGATGGGGAGCGGGTGGTGCTGCCCAGTCTGGAGGGCATCATCGTTTGTAACATCCGCTACTGGGGGGGAGGCTGCAGACTCTGGGACGGGCTGGGGGACGAACCCTGCCCCCCCACTCGGTGAGACCTGCTCAGGCAGCTCTCTGCTCCAGTTACTGCAGAGAAGCTTGGGCTATGAAAATATGGACTTTTTGTTTTTGTTGTTGTTTTTGTTTTTCACCCCCCGGCCCCCGTCTCTCCCTGCAGGCTGGACGACGGGCTGCTGGAGGTGATGGGGGTGTTCGGCTCCTTCCACTGTGCTCAGATCCAGGTCAAACTGGCCAACCCTGTGAGGCTGGGACAGGCGCACACTGTCAGGGTGAGACACATGGCACACACACATGCACGCGCTCGTTTCCCCTTCCTGCCCTCACTAACCCGTCAGTCTGAACCCACGGCTGCATCATCCGTAAGAGCGTTAAAGACGATTGCTGCGACGCGCCACAAAAAAGTTAGACGAAACTCTTCAACTTGTCCTGTGAAACTAAAAACATCAAACGAGGATGTTTGTCCCTGAAACATCTGTTTGTCCCTGAAACATCTGTTTGTCCCCGAAACATCTGTTTGTCCCTGAAACATCTGTTTGTCCCTGAAACAGATGTTTAAGTTTTACTCCTATCGTAAGATGTTTGGTGCAATGAGCAGAACTGGATTCTAGAGAAGAAAACCCTTTAAATAACATAAGATGGATGGATTGATGGATAGATAGAAAGATGGATGGATGGGAAGATGAATGGATAGATGGATAGGAATATGGATAGATGGATGGATGGATAGGAAGATGGATGGATGGATAAGTAGGTGGATGGATAGGTGGATGGATGGATAGGTGGATGGATAGAAAGCTGGATGGATGGATAGGAAGCTGGATGGATGGATAGGAAGATGGATAGGAAGATGGATAGATGGATGGATGCATAAGTAGGTGGATGGATAAGTAGGTGGAGGAGTGGAGCAGGGGAGTGGTGGCGCAGAGGTTAGAGAGGTGGGCTTGTGATCCAAAGATCGCCGGTTCACGCCCCGGCCCCGACAACATCAAAATTGTGGGTGGGGCAGGTGAAACACCCACACTTGCCCCCACCCTCATTCGCCCCACTCTGGTCCTATGAGCAAGGCCCTTAACCCCCACCATGTGCTCCCTAAACAGGTCTCTCTTGAAAATGAGTTCTCGTGGCTCAATGAGACTAACCTGTATAAATAAAGGCTAAATGAAAAAAATAATAAAAATAAAAAAAAAAGTAGGTGGATGGATAAGGTGGATAAGAAGATGGATAGGATGGATAGGTGGATGGATAGGAAGATGGATAGATGGATAGATTGATGGATGGATGGATTGGATGGATAGGAAGATGGATGGATGGATGGATGGATGATGGATAGGATGGATAGGAAGATGGATAGGATGGATAAGAAGATGGATAGGATGGGTAGATGGAGGGATGAATAGATGGATGGATGGATGGATGAATGGATAGGAACATGGATAGATGGATGGAAAGGTAGATGGATGGATGGATAGGAAGATGGATGGATGGATGGATGGATAGGAAGATGGATGGATGGATGAATGGATAGGAAGATGGATGGATGGATAGGTAGATGGATAGGAAGATGGATGGATGGATAGATGAATAGATACTTCAGTAATTTAAGACTTAAAACTTACTAATCATATATATCAAGACTAAAGGATCATTAAAAGTTTGTAAACAGATCTAAAGCGTTGACGGATGGAAAATGAGCTCAATTCAAGGCCAAATGTTTCAAAAAGCTAAAGTTGCACCAATACCAAAAGTTACATCGTGATCGTCCTGAAAGAGCCGAACCTTTTGATTTATGATTTGTTGAAATGGCACAAAAATTGTGGAACGAGAAAGATGCAGAAAACCGTACGGAAGACAAATGGATCACAACAGTGTGAATGCTTCATAAACATTCACACAATAAAAAGAAACGACAACTCAGCGTGCCAAATGAACAAAAACCTTACTCGTGTTATAGAAAAGAATTTAAAAGTATTTTTAGTGTTAACTTTTATTTGAAGGGGTTAGCAGGAAGTGAAACTCCTGGTGTCAGGTTTTAAGTCCCCGGTCTGGCCCACTCAGGTGTTCCTTTTCTGTCTCCAGCTGGTTCTGAAGAGCTCCACGATGCCCATGCAGGTGGACGGGGAGCCGTGGGCCCAGGGGCCGTGCACCATCACCATCACCCACAAGACCCAGGCCTTCATGCTGTACCACAGCGCCGAGCAGACCGACGAGGACGACGACGAGTCCAGCGTCTCGGAGGCGGAGAGCCCCACCCCTCAAGACTCTCCCAGACCCCCGGGGCCGGCTCCTCGCTCGAGCCGGACACGCCTCAACTCTTAGCTTGAAACAATCCTTCGTTTGCTTCAGACCCGCTCTCTTCGCTCACACAATCAGGTTTTATTTTAATTTTTTTCCTGGGGGGGGGCTCGGATCTGTGAGATTAATTTTATCTTGTAGCGCTTATTTATTTTAACCCTGAGCTCAGGCTGCTCCTGACATGGAGAACGTTTTATTTGCACTGATCCCTCGTGCCGTACGGAGGCCATATATAGTTAAGTGTGCTGTATTTATTTTAGCCGTTTTAAAACTGAAGCCACGTCTGAATCAACAGCCGGCCATAAAGCTGTAAAACAAGCAGCTGTCACATGATGGTCGATGCTCTCCTGCCTGGTTTATGTTCCAGACGAAGCACAACATGGATGATGTTAGGTAGACGTGGCCTTCCTGTCTCTGAGCTCCGCCCCTTTAGTCATGATGTCATCACCAAGTAAATGAGGACTGCTAAC